ACCTGACACCATTCTTGAGATGCCTAAACGAGTTATCAAGAAGCCTGTTAGATTGATTGAAGAGATGGAGGGAAGAAATTGCTGTGTTGATGCGATGACAGGTTATGCATTGAGTGTAGCTGATGATGTAGAGTCATTTGAACCTGCCACATATAAACAAGCAATTAGTTGTAGTGAGTCTGCGCAATGGCTTGCCGCAATGGGTGAAGAGATGCAGTCCCTTTACAAGAACAGAGTGTGGGAACTGGTAAAGGTACCGGAAGGGAGGAAGCTTGTGGGTTGTAAATGGATTTACAAGAAGAAAGAAGGGTTGTCGGAAACTGAGCAAATACGTTTTAAGGCTAGGCTAGTTGCTAAGGGGTTCAGTCAGGTAGAAGGGGTTGACTTTGTTGAGATATTCTCACCTGTGGTTCGACATACTTCTATCCGTGTGTTATTGTCAATTGTAGCACATTTTGATCTTGAGCTGGAGCAGTTGGATGTTAAAACGGCCTTCCTTCATGGCGATTTGGAGGAGGAGATTCTGATGAAGCAGCCCGAAGGATTCGAAGCTCCTGGAAAGGAACACTATGCCTGCAGATTGCTAAAGTCATTGTATGGACTTAAGCAATCCCCCCGACAGTGGTACAAAAGGTTTGATTCTTTTATGGTTTCACAAGGTTTTGACAGGAATTCATATGATTGCTGTGTGTATCATAGTAAGCTGGATAATGGTTCCATGATTTATCTTTTGTTATATGTTGATGACATGTTGGTTGCCACAAAGAATAAATCTGATATTGCTAGATTAAAGGAGATGTTTAACTCGGAGTTTGACATGAAAGACTTGGGTGCAGCTAGGAAGATTTTGGGTATGGAGATCTACAGGGATCGGGCTAGAGGTAAGCTTTTCTTGACTCAGAAAAGCTACATTGAAAAGATTCTGTCTCGTTTTGGGATGGAAAAATCGAAGCCTATAAGTACGCCAACTACTGTTAGTTGTAAGTTGTCTTTGTCTATGTCACCTCAATCAGAGGAGGAGTTGTCTTATATGTCTAGAGTTCCATATGCAAACGCGGTTGGTTGTTTGATGTATGCTATGGTCTGTACTAGGCCGGATATTGCGCATGCTGTTAGTGTTGTAAGCAGGTTTATGGCTCGACCTGGGAGGGAACACTGGCAAGGGGTGAAAAGGATTTTTCGCTACCTGAGAGGGACAGCTGATATTGGTCTTGTGTACGGGAATGGTAAGGAATGCTTGGTCACTGGGTACAGTGATTCTGATTATGCAGCTGATGTGGATACCAGGAGGTCTGTGACTGGTTATGTGTTCACTTTGGGTGGTTCTGTGGTTAGTTGGAAGTCTACATTGCAGTCATCAGTTACGTTGTCAACTACTGAAGCTGAGTATATGGCTCTAACTTCTGCAGCTAAGGAGTCTATTTGGCTCAAAGGCCTAGTAGGTGAACTGGGTATTGCACAGGATTTTGCTACAGTGTATTGTGATAGTCTAAGTGCGATTTGCTTAGCTAAAGATCAAGTACACCATGATCGGACGAAGCACATTGATGTCAGGTATCATTTCTTGCGTACTGACAAGAGGATTAAGGTGAAGAAGATTGGGACTGCTGACAACCCGGCTGATTTCTTCACTAAGCCTGTTCCGTTTAGCAAGTTTAAACATTGCTTAGACTTGCTAAATATTGATTACTACGTGATGTAGTAGGCCCTGAGGGGCGAAGTTGGGGAGCTCCTGGTGTAGGTGTGTTGGCCTTAAGGTGGAGCTTGCCCGGGGCTTGTGATGCAGGTGGAGCATTATGAGTTGTTATACTTGGAGACGAGTATGTGATGGGTCTTGGTTGAAGACTTATCGGGATGTATGGCTTATGCATGAGTCTTGCATCGGGTTTGGCTTGAGATGTTTTTTCACTATGTCTTGATGGGGTCGTTTGCTGACTACGAGTTCTCGTCAAGGTGGAGATTGTTGATAAGTATATTAGGTGACTCGTACTTCGTAGCTTTGTCCGCCCGATCGGGCGGACATTGCCCGGTCTGACCGGGCGGAAGAAGAAGAGGTGCCTGGCAAATTCGTTGAAGAAGCTGCTCTCGCGCCCGACCGGGCGAGCCTTCGCCCGACCGGGCGAGCCTTCGCCCGACCGGGCGAGCCTTCGCCCGATCGGGCAGACCTTGCCCGGTCTGACCGGGCGGTGGGGGTTGGATACGTTGAAGCATTCGTATGGAGTTTTCTTCTCGCGCCCGATCGGGCAGACCTTGCCCGGTCTGACCGGGCGGAGAAGGAAAAATACGGAACGCGGATTTTGCGGTTTTAGGTTATCTTATTTTATTATCTTTTTGCCCAAGTATCTTTTAATTAGGGATTAATATAAAACCTCCCTAATATCAGTATTAGGGTTAAGAGAGACAGAGTGAAAGCCGTTCTTGAGAAATACAAGAATCATCTTTGTAATCTTTGCAGTTTATAGTGAAATCATTCGATCTCGGTGCCCGTGGACGTAGCTATCACATCGATAGTGAACCACGTAAATTCTTGGTGTTGTTCTTATTGTTTGCATTGAATTTCTTTATTGTTTTCTTGTTTGTTTACGACCTTTGCTTCCGCTGTCGCACAACATTTGTCATCGATTGTCATACAAATCAAAACCAAACATGATTGAAAAACAACGAAAACTACTTGCGTTGCATCACTGTCATTCTCGTAAGTTTGGAACAAGCTCCAAGTATGACCCAAAAAATAATCACATAATAAACTTATGCTTTTGGAAGGATGTCTTCGTAAACACTTTATATCATTAAAAAACAAATATTATATATTTGTATATACAGTATATGATAAAAACAATCATACGAAGTACTATACACATTTTTTTTTTTTGAAAGAAATTACTATATAAATGTTTTTACCAAAGTAATTTTCTCCGAACTGTTGGATTAAAAAGATTTCTAATAAAACCAATAAAATACCTCAAAATACATATTTATATTGGTACTCCGTATATTTAATTAAAAAAAAGGATAAATAAATGGGATACATTTTTGAAGAAGAAAAAAAACATTATTATACACAAAGTATTAATATTTAAACTGCTTAAAAAAAAAAAAAAAAAAAACAAGAGAGCACATGTTTTAGATCATCCACCTAAAGCAGTAAAGCCATAGCCATCTTCTAAACCAACCACACATTATTTAGGCACATTATGGAGACCAAATACCTAAATTAGTAAGCCTTGATAAGATTAGGACGGTTGGACTTTGAATGAAAATCCATTTTCTTAAACTTGTCGGATTTTATCACCTCATTATTTAGGCGCGATGGTGAAAACTACCAAGAGTCAAGCATCTTGTCAACATCCTTATAATGGTACATACATTGTATGAATCAATACTTTTATGCTTTCACACCAACCCACAAACCCCTCTTCTTTTCCCCTCACATTGAACCCAAAGCAAAACGGCAAATAAACCAGCCAAACAAGGAAAACTTGGACGGTCAAATATCAACGCATATTCATTTATTCAAATTTTCTTTATGTAACTATACAAGATAAAAGTTGTTTTAACGTAAAGAAAGTAAGAAACTATTAAGGACTAAGAGCCTAAGACTAAGTATCTCAAATGAATGGAAGAGAATAAACAAGTTATAATGTTGTATATTTATTTATGAAAACCATTATACTCTGTAATAGGCTAATAGCCAACTTTTTTAAGATGTCACTCACTTATACAGTTGTTTGTATATTTATTAAACTATTATGCTCATTTTAATTTGCACCAAAAATATTATGCTCATTTTAATAGCCAACTTTTATACAGTCTTGTTAGAGTACTCTATTTACTTTCATTTCTTTATTTTGAAGAAAGAAATTTCTGATTGTCACATAAAAATTTAGTGTCCCGCGTTGAGAATTAATTTAATGACTAGTTTATTTATAAAGGTAATGCTAGGTTACAAATATAAATATTAAATATACTTATGTATAGCATTTTCCCATTTATGACCTAATGAGTAGAATATGGGTCTATTATCTAATGTTGAAATTCAGTTCAGTTCAGTTCAGCTCCTAATTTCCTTCTCTTATAAAATATTCATTTCAATTCAATTCGGTTTTAATGGTGTTAAGGGTAGTTTATGAACTCACATTTGAAGAGAAGATACAAATTTAAATTTAGTTTAAGTCCACAAAGAACAAACGGTGAAGACATGATTTATTCCATGATCACGGATTTTTTTTTTTTTTTAATTTCTTTTTACAAGAATCTTGATTAAACTCCAAATCCTTGTGATTTTTTTAATCCAATATTTGCGGGCCAGTCACTCAAGAGTAGAGAGAAGGGTAGAAAATCCCTACCTCAAAACACCCTCACTTTTTAGAATTCAAACTTTGAGATCTAAGGTAAGAAACTTACCAAATAAGCCACATTTTATAAGTATTCATGATCATGGATATAGCTTCAATACTTAAACTAAATAATCTATCTTCACATTTTACATTTAATTTCAATGTGACATTTTCCAAATACTCTCTCCATCTCTAATAAAAGTATCATTTGTCTTTAGCACACAATATTAAAAAGCGATTATGAAAAGAAAAATATGGAATTTGAAAGATAGAAGGGTAATTATATTTGAAATAAGTAGTATACTTTTTATAGAGAAAATATAAGTCTCCATGATTTGTAGCAAAATTGTAAATAAATCAACTTTTTAGATTGACGAATATGCCATGCTGACTACAAATACTAAATACTTTCCCCGTTTCAAATTCGATAACACATTTTAACTTTTGATACTATTCATCAACTTTGCTTTGACTAAAAAAAATAAAATAAAATAAAAACAAATAAAAAAAATCATATGAGATCTTATTAGATTCATTTTAATTTGTAGTTAATTAAAATTCAATTTTAAGTTTTTTTTTTTTTTTTTTTTACAATAATATATTTAAAAATATATTCAATTGAACTTTTGCATTACTTATACTAACACTAACAAATAAGAATAAACCACCTCTAGTAAAATTTCCAGTTATTCCTGCTGTCCTGCCCTTGTTCAGCTCAGAACTATACTACGGAGTACTAATAAATGTATAGTGTGTTCAATTCACAGTTGAAAGTCACAAAATGCATTCAGCTCAGAATTTTACTTCTGAAGCCGTCCTTTAAATTTCATAAGAGGCAACTTTATATTAAATAATTACCAAACTTTTTGCCCGCATGCAATTCATGGTTAAAAAAATGAAACTGAGAAGGCCATATCACATAATGTATTCCACATTAAGTCTCAAAATAAAGGTTCGCAGAGTAATACGAAATACTGAGCTGCAGCAGCTTAAATGCAGAAGCATACAGAAAAGGAATTACTTGTATATAAAAACAGCATTAGTTAGACAGAAGCGAATCAACAACTTACATGTTGACGAAGGGACAATGCAGCACAGTTTGCATCCTTCCGTAGTGGTGTTTGTAGGGCATGGAACTAATTATATAAAAATGAAAAAACAAAGACAAAAATATTCCTACAGTCTTAGGGGAACTTTCAAAATTCACATAAAACAAATGGAAAAGATGATTATGGACATTAAAGTTAGTATATAATTATAACTGATACTAATATTTTACATCCTAAAGGCACTGATTAAGTGCCGTCATTCTCATTGCCTTTTGCATATTATAATCCTTCGACAAACTTCATAAAGTACATAACTCAGCGAAGGCATTTCCCTTGCTTTGCACACGTAAACTTACCAATAAAACAAGACAGAAGATGTCGTCAGGACCACGTAGAAAAGCATGATTCCAGCATACCAATATGCTCACCTGAAAAGGCGATTTAACTGTTCAAAGTTATGAAAACAATAATTAGTATAAAGCTTAATCTATAAAACTAGTACTTTCAATTCAACTATATCATCCACGATTTTATCCATACATTCTTTCAATAAACTAGTACTTTCAACAGCTCAAAGTTATTAAAGCAGTAATTAGAATAAAGCTTAATCTGTAAAACTAGTACTTTCAGTGCAACTATATCATCCACGATTTTATCCATACATTCTTTCTAACCCCCCACCCCACACACACCCCTTTATTCCAACTCAAGTTTTAATATTCGAAAGGCATCAGGGTTTTATAACAATCAGTTCTACAATTTCAGAGAGGTAGTTGAGTAAACACATGGAGCAGAAGGTTTCACGAGGCTGTAAGAAATACAAAGTATACACACAAAAACATGTGATTTGATTTGTTTTATACAAATTTTGAATGAATAATATTATATATCTGAACCCTGATCCAACCTTAGGTACTGGTAATCATGAGTCACGACTGTAGTATTATAAAACTAAAATAGATTAAACCTCTACCCTCAGTGTGTATTGAATGTACAAATTCTTCACCATCCAAACAGTGCCCTAAATTAACGCCAAAAGCCACATAATAGCACGGACATAAGAAAACAAGAGAGGGAAGGAAGGAAGAGCAAACAGGCCGTACCAAAAACAAGTGAATATAAAGGAATTAGTATATCACTTAAAAAGTTAAAAATTCCTGTTTCTATGAAAACAACCTATGGATCAGGACTTCTGAGGAGCCAAAAATAAAGGAACTAATACTAAATATAGGAACTGATCCTCTAGAGCAAAATACGTCAAAAAAATAAAGCATAGAAAATACTTTTGAAAATTTAATTTAGATCGTAAAACCAAAATTTTTTAGCTACATTGGAACCTAGCCAACTACACCCATGTGCTCCATTACTCCTAATAAGTAATAAACATGCTTGGAGAATAGTTCTGTACAAAGCCTATGAATACTTTCTTAGGGCATTGAGAAATTAAAAGTGGCCATGAAAAAGACTTAAGACAATAAGACATTCTCTCTTCCAATGCAAACGGAGAACTATCTTGACTGAGAGCCAGTAGTTGTATTCTATTTGGAAGTGCTACTATTACTACAATACTACCAACGGTAAGGATTTGCCCATCATGCATGAGGCTCCAAAAAACTTTTTCTTTTGCTCACATTACGCCATAAGATCTGCCACATGTTGGACAAAAGGAAGAAAACTAAGGCATTTCTATGGCCCAACCTTGTGACAGAGACATTGGTTTTATGAGTACAATGGGCTTGATAATGCCATAGAACGTCAGGGATATGTGATTCTATATCATCAGGAAACACCCAACATGTTCTCATCAAACTCCGGCACACATAGAACATCACCTTGTGCCATGCAAGATTTAATGACAAGGGGGCCTACAATACCTAATTTAACATAAACACCATTGCCCATCTTTATAGGCCTTCTCAGTTCTCACTGATGCATGAAGATTTTGTGATGTGATTACTGCATCTACTATGAACTAACCACCCATCATTTTTGGAGATCTCCGTAGCACTGTTAGTAAAGTGTGCCTAGCTGCTTCCCAAGTGCAACTGTGCAAGCATGGATAAAGCATTTTCATTAAAGTGCCCTGTGGGCACTAAGAGGCACATTACATCTCATACATGAACTTTGCACCTAGGCTCTAGCCCTCCTTTTGTCTTACTCCTCACCAAATTCTAGTGGCTTAAAAATACTCCCAAGGACTCCTTTACAGACTCTATCTTCTAACATACTAAATACATCAACCATCTCTATAAATTCCATGGATCTTAACAGCACTATCAACAGCATACATTCAAATTTTTGGATGCTTCTTTGTTAGCTTCTCTATAGACCTTAATCTGGCTTGCTAATTTTGTCACCCAAAATTAGTTGTTTAGCCTCTCAATAGGTCCAAGTGTCCAACTGTCCAACTCTCAATTCAAAAGATATTCTCATATTTGAAAGTTTTATGATGTATACATCTAAACCCCAAAGTGTTCCATGCCTGTTGCTGTATTCACAGAGAATATCCATGTGCAAGATTTGCAATGCAGTTTGATCTTATCTTAGATAATCAATTTTAAATACGAACTGACATGATCAGGCTACCAAGGAGATGTTGCCTCAAGATAAGGTTATCCAGCCCATATTTGAAAACTCCTATATTTACCCTTAAAACTTCGTTTCTAGATTCCCCTAATATCCATTATCTATTTATCTATATTGGTATCCAGGACTTGACCCTTATTTGTTAAGAATTCTGAGATTTAATTGCCTGGAAGGACAATAATCAGAATAAAAATTAATATATAAATAAATAAAGTAATTCTCTCTTGAGCCTCAGCTCATTCACTAGATGGTGATAGCTGACTTGCTATTTAAAAAATAAAAATAAAAATGTGACTCCACAGATTGAAACAGACGCACTGTAAATTTTACAGTTACCAAAAATAGAACAATTTGCAGGTTTTAACTTTTAACCAATTGACCAACTTATAATATCCTCAGTTCCTCACTGACATAACACAACATGATATTGCCACAGGAACAAAAGAAACCTGTAACTTATAAGTATAGTTTCAGTCTACTAGGTTAAAATACTTCCAAAGTAATCTGCATTTTCACGATTTTTAAATTTAAATGTTCATTGGAAACTATTAGGTCAAAACCCCACACAACACAATGCAGTCATACTCATACCTGAAGACAAAAGCAATAACAAAGGTCCATCTTGACGCCCACCCCTAATATAAGGATCTTCAAACAGAAGAATTGTTCTGCATAAAAAGAAATGCAAAATCATCTATAATCAATCATCAATGCTGAAAAAGCCAACGAAGACAGAAATTTTGTTTCCATGGGATCTGAACATACTCAATTATTCAACCGTTTTCCAAAAAGAATTTATAATAACAAGGACAAAAAAACAAAAAAGCAACTAACCAACCTTCAAAACCTTAATGATAAAGGTATAAGTGGATTGACTGGATTCAAACCACACCACAAGAAACTTCACTTCAATTCATGAATAAAAGACACTGAATACATTCTATATTTTAGATGAAAATTGAGTCTCAAGCCATGCTATAGGAAGTGAGATGCTAAATTGCTAACATGTAAGTCTTTACTTCTCATTACATAGCACGCCAAATTCTCTCCCTATTTCTATTTCCTGTTAAGCAATATTGCAATCTTGTACGGATACATTGCACCAAGTATTACAACTAGGATTAAACTTCAATGATAGCTAAATATAATTGCCAAGTTCTCACACCAAGCTAACTTGACCTAGTAATAAAGGGTTGGCCTCATGAGGTATATTTGGCTGTACACATGTTCTCTAAGCTCTTTTCTTTTATTTGCTTTATTATTATCAACATAGATAAGAAATTATTTTGCATATATATTTAACAATTTACATAATTTACTGAACTTCATAAAAATAAAAATTCAGGCATAAAAACTAGCTGCATTTGGGGATTTCAACCCAATATCAGCTATGGCCAGATATGGATCAACATCAGTCATTATTCATGTATGAGATTTGAAATTCCCAGAAATCATTTATAGGCTTATATCGGAAGCAAATAATATGATAAGGTTTTCAAATTTGCAAAATAAAATGATCAGAAAAAATAATGGCATACCTTCAACTGCAAAATCTTCTGGCTTTCACTGAAGTACTGGTTTGGATGGTTGATTCCAGCATCACAGGACGAACCGTGAATAGCTTCAAATGTTAAGGTGCAAGCTATCTGTGCACGCATTACCATTTCTAAATGATTAACAACCCAAGGTGCCTGATGGAATTAACAGTGCACATTTAACCATAATGCACTATCCCTTACCTGGTAGTGTTTGTTTCGGACTTTGTCCATAACATCAGTCATTGCCCGACTATTCACTCCCATTTTACTAAGTGCGGCTCTAAGGTTGTCCTCGCTGCCAAAGTATATAACACATCATATAAAGGATAAATTACATGTTAAAAGCAAAGCCTCTGCCACATGATATGGTAACCCTACTGTAATTATCACAAACCTTGCATTAATGTTTACAACTGCAAGAAACAAGTTCCTACTGCAGAATACAGACTTTTAAACTAAAGATAGAACATTTAGATGAATTAAGAAATGGTGAATACCAGCTTTCAAATCTTATAAATTTGATGATTAAAAAAAAAAAATCAAAATATCTTCCCATAAGTAATGATTAAGATTTCCGTGACTAACCGACTAGAAACCTAAGTGATGAGTCTAATCTGTATAAAAGGTGACTGTTCAGAATTAACTAAGTCAATCAAAATTTTATTACCGAGTGACCTTACCTGAAATGTCGATAAGGACAACCATGGTGATCTCCAACACCAGGAGTGCTTGAGATGACCTTCTGACAAGAGTAGGGTGTATAATCCTGAAAGCACAAAATCCAATGATGATGAAATTGTAAATGAGAGTCATTCCTCTCTTTAGGGAAAAGGTGCATAGATAGCTTACCACTCTCTTGCCTTCTTTTCCATAGCTGTGGCGAATGCTGTAAGCATACTCTTTGTCAAATCTCTCAGCACCAACCTAGCAAAGACAGATCAAACAGCAACAATTATCATACAGAAATGCAACCTACTCAAAAAGATTCATAGCACAGCAATACTACATCTGCTACCCAAAGTTTCAGGTATCAGTTGTTGATATTGAAGCTATTACCTTCTTGGAGAACTCAGATTTCCAAAAGGCAAGAGCATCATCCAACGTTAATCCTACACCCTGCAGCACAGAAAATAAGTACTTGATGTATCTCACCACAATCACATTTTAAACGGAAAAATTCCAAACAAATTTGTTAATACATTAAGTGCCAAGTAAAAAAAAAAAAAAAAAAAAAAAAAAAAAAAAAAAAAAAAAAAAAAAAAAAACCTTTGTCGACTATAGGACAAGACCTATAGGACAGAATTCTTTATGCAAAAAACTAAAATTAATTGTAGGGTTCTGAGAGAATGACATTTAATTTCATTATCTTCAACAAGAAAAGGTTAAGAAATTGTAAAAGAGGTTTATTTCAGAAAATGCATACCTTGAGAAATAGACCTAATTGCATCCTGCCTCCATACTTAAGATGATGATCTTCCCTTAGCTGCCCAAAACACAAGTGAATATTGTCAAACAAGAGAGCAATGTAATATCTGATGAAAATGCAAATACAAGTACAATTAGAGAATAAATTTGTACAACATAAGAAACTAGCTGATAAGACAATATATTTTTCGACCTTTTCAAATAGGTGGCGCATGCAGAGGGGAAATAAACTATTTGCTACTTGATCGATGTCTTTCAGTGATATCTCTGCAAATTCCTTTGCCTGCACAGGCAGCAAGACACTCTCAAATTTTGTTTTCAAGAAGCTACAGGAGTACAACTTTAGTAAAAAGAGATTATACCTCAGAATAGTCAGGACCGAGGTAGCTTGTGCTGAGAGATTCAACAATCTGCCAAGACAATAAGCACAAAGATCATAACTGACAAACTCAAGATTCTTAAACACGTGCTCTGCTACTTACCGGAGTCAATCTATTCTTCTCCTTTTCGCTAATCATAGAGGTCCATTTTCTGAAGTAAAAACGCAGGAATTAAGGAGCAAAATCAGTGTTGCAACTCTTTTCTTATTGAGATCAGTTTCTGAGAAAATACTGATACTTCCCAAAAGAAAATAAGAAAAAAAAAAAAAAAAAAAAACCTAAAAACATGAAGAGAGACAAAACTCATAAGGATGTCTAAGTTTCCAGTCTAGAAAAACAATTTCCTAAATACATAATTGCAGAACAAACACATGATTTTCATTTCCTAAAATAAATGAGCCTGAAACCTAAGACGTGCACTAATTGTAGAGTTTTAGATGTACAGATTGTGGCTGGTCTCAATTCCAGAAGATCAATCTCTATCCACTCTAAACTTGTAGTGAGTTCACTTTGACTCGTCATGTTCTTGTGGACACAGTATGTATACAACCTTACGAGTCCTAAATACATGAGTTCAATGCAGGAGTGTTGAATCCCATAATGCCCAAGAAAACGTGAATCACCTGCAGATAGATATGCTTTATTTAATTCTGCTTTACACAATGTTGTGCCAAGGACGCTGCCAACTAGAAAAATGTCTTGTTCCACTTTAAACATAAATTAAGGGTAGACTTAAACAGTACCAATGGACATTTTTCCCAAGCATGAAGGACATTGTTAAAGGTTCCTTTTAGTTTTTACCATTAAAATTTTCCGATCAATCAGCAGGTAAATGACTTGAAGACTTCCTTGATTGAAATCCAACATTTGGGGTTTCAAGATTAGATCACCAAGTACGCAAGTAAAACAAGTTACAGCTAAAATTTATGTGCTATATATTATATCAACAAACCATAAAATTCAGACTGAAACAAGAAAAGTATAGCAAGAAAGTTTAAAATTTTCCCTCCTAAATTTGGTTATTTTACTAGAGAAACTAGCTATTAGAACAAAGTAAAAGAAGAGTTCAAAGACAAGAATCAACCAACTAACCTATTTGTAAGTATAAGATCTTTTGATAGGTTGCTGCGAAATTGTGTGACAACAAGAGAAACAACCTAAAAGACAGATACGGATCAGCTCAACTATAGTACATGAATTAAGACCATTAAAAACTAATACATAAATAAACCAGCTAATCACTACTATCTCACCTGATTCATAGCAACATATGCATACCCTTTATGAATGTACACTCTGCGTCCAGCCACAAGCTCAGGAACTTCTTCAAATGGTACCTTGATTTAGAATATGTAATTAGCAAAAAAAAAAAAAATAAGGGAATGCTACTAAGAACAGAACTTAGTATTATGAACATCAGTCAATTTCTCGTGTTTGACAAGCAACAGAAAAAAGTCAAAAAGACGAATGTAGCACAACCAGGAAAGAAATGTTCTGAGCTGTATTTCTTTCAACCCATGCCAATATTACATCTCCATTAGTAGAAAAGGTATATAGAAATGATTATTTGCTGGAAAAACTTGCTTTTAGGAGAAGGAAGATAATACAATACAAGAGCATTGAGCTTACCTTGTAAAATACGGTATCAGCTGCAAAACAAACGAAGTAACAACAATAAGATTGCATTGGAGCAAAAACATGCAACTATAAAATAGAATCAAATGGAGAAAAAAAGAATAACATCGTCTCATAAAAAACTTTCATAAAACACACTTTAATACATACGAGTACTTAATAGATTCAATCATTTAAAAGACTTTCAAAAAATAACATCAAAATTGCTCATACCGCTGGTCAAAGGCTGCCCAAGGGATCGTGCAACTTGTGTTAGCTTCTCCTTCACACTCTAGTATTACATTACAGTTAAAAAAAAAAATCAGCACTAATATCTTACAATAATCACTCATGTATAGTTAAAGGTTACACAACCGATTTCAAAATATGACCAAAATAAACATTAATCACCTCAAATTCTGCATTGCTAACTGCTTTGTAGGGAAGATCAAACTCCGCTAATATTGCTTTCTACATACAAATGAATTTGAAATTATATTGCCGTGAAGCTGATATTAATTGAATATGGTTAAGAGCTTAAACTAAAAGATACTATCATATATACCTGATCATCGTAGCTCGCAAGCTTATATCGGTAACGAAAGAGAGTTGTTTCCATTGATAAGAACCATTTTCTTAACTCCTCCCTAGAATTAACCAATTGTTTGGAGAAAAATCATTAGCTAAAGCAAAATTACACAGCAAATGACAATAATACAAAATTAAACAATAGGAATTAGTAAAAAAAAAAAAAAAGGCAAATAATAGAGTATATACAAGTATGAAAAATTTATTGAGATGTAAGGAATTATTACGATCTGCAATAAACTAGGCGGAGAACAAAGTGAGAGATTAAGTCCTTGTTAATTGTCTCAGAAGCCTGTGGATGTCCCATGTGAGTTTTCAACAAATTCTTCACCTAATTTGGCAAATTAATTAATCAAATCAGCCTGAAATTAAACCTAAAACAGATATAGCAGTAATAATCAAAGGAAATTTAAGAACTATGCAACAAAATTAATAAGAATTCAATTACATTGACTAACTATTTTAATTAACAAATGATTACCAATTTTTCGATTTCATCAGGCTTTTTTCCGCGAGAAAGTCCGTCGGAAATTCCTTTGAGCACTATCATTTCACCAAAGAAATTAAAAATCAATCGATAAACAGCACATTGTGGAAACCCTAATTTTCCGAAATTATAGTAAAATTGAAGTTCGAAAACGAAGAATCCACAGAAAAATTAGAAGAGAGAAACCTCGGAGACGATCAATGGCGAAGAGTTCGAAATCTTCAAGGCGAACTTCGAGAACAGGAGGAGTGCGGTAGAGAGGGATGGTGGAAACGACGGCGACGTCGTCGGAGGAAGATTTCTTCTGAGATCTCATGATTTCCATGGTTTTCTTCTCTTTCTCTCTCTACTGGTGTGTACTGCGTAGTGTGGTGGAGAAGAAAATAGGAAATGGGAGTTTGGCGCCAAGAGTCGTCTCAAGAGATTGGAAAAGGGTGAAAATAGCGGGAAAGTTTTGGTGTCTGCTTTATAGGGATGAGGGTTGAGGAAAAACCATGGGATCCGAACCGGATTTGGGTATATCATATGACTAATACGAGTATGGATATATCGATTAGTCGATACGGTTCGAGTACCGGGTACCCATTAGCCTGTTACTAATCCTTTAATTTATTTATTTTTTTATTTTTTATTTTTTTAAAAATAGAAAAGTGAACAAGAATTAAGGATAATCTACTTTCAAGACTATACCCTAATTTATCAGAATAAATAAATAAATAAAATTATTATTTATAAACGGATCGATATCTTGGTGAGCATGCATAAAATGGCCCAATGAAGCAACATAGTTTACTGTTCTATTACCCTCTTTATAAATGTGCCGCGAATCAACATAGGTGAAATTTCGAATTAGCTCCTTAACGTCCTCCAATAATAGCTGAATTTTCCATGGGCACTAAGTCTTTCCCTGCAAAATATTAATAATAAGCAAATCATCCCCTTCAATAAATACTTTTGAAATATTATGAGTCTATGCCGAAAGAAGACCATTACGAAGGGTCGTAGCTTCTGCAATAAGAGAAATACTCATACTAATATTAAAAGAACGACTACAAACATTATTTCTTGAATGATATCTTAGAACAATTCCTACAACCCCTGAACCATCTCGAACAAAACCATCAAAAAATAATTTAATAACACCAAGGGGAGGGGGCGCCCAAGAGATACGAATACTCCTTGGGGTAGGATGAGAAGGAAGAGCGAGAGCAGGGGTATCCAAAAGAGTCGAGACAAGAACGAAAATGCCATTCATGATTAATTTTTTGGGCACAAGAAAAAATAGTCATATGAGAAAAAAGCAATTTCATCAAAAATAAGCACTAAATTCCTAGTTTTCCAAATACTCCATAAAGAAGTTATAACCTTTTTTTAGAGACATAGAGAAATTACCCTTTAAAACTTTAAAAATCAAATTAATACCAGTAGTTAAGGGACCCGACCAATCCACCGAACAGTAGCATCAGCATGCCAAAATTGAGAAGTGTAGGAACAGGATAGAAAAGATGATCTTAAGTTTCATCATGACAATTACAAAGGGGGCACATAGAAGGATTATCCAACTGACGATGAGCAAGATTAGCCCTAGTAGGTAGAGCATTATGAAGAAGTTGCCAAACAAAAAATTTCAGTTTTGGAGATATATCAAGTTTTCAAATCCAAGAAAACTCTCATTTAGTATGAGAAGTTATTATGAGCAAGCCAAGTAGCTGATTTGACAGTAAAATCACCTAGAGAAACCCTAGCAAGGCTCATCTTGAATAACTGAAGAGGGAAATGGGATTCCTTTTAATAAGATGGACAATATTAGACGTGACATAATTACATAAAGACACAGAGTAGAAACATCCCATTCATTATTCTCCATAATGAAATGATAAACATTAAGATCTAGGTTTTGGATATTCGAAATATCTAAATTAACATAGTAATTACATTTTCAGAAGAGCACCAATTATCAAGCCAAAATAGAACATTAGTACCATTACCAATTTTCCATCGAATGCCACTAAGTAGGAGGAGGCGGATTTGAAGAATCTTTTTCCAAATCCAAGAGTCCTTTGGTTGAGGACTATATTAAAAAAAAAGGATTTGTGAGCTAGATATTTAGCAGTGATACAAACGAACCCAAAGATTATTTGGGTTAGAGATTATTTTCCAACCTAGTTTAGCTAAAAAGGCGGAGTTAACTGCCTCGGTTTTACGGAGGCCTAAGGCCTAAGCCACCATAATCTTTAGGTTGACATATTTGATCCCATAAGATCATAGGTATAGCTTATTTGTTTGGCGATTGGTTCCAAAAAAACTTTCTATTGATTTGATCAAGAGAATTAGTTATAAGTTTCGGTAAGCGAGTTGTGGACATAGCAAAAGAAGGTAGCGCCTCCAAATTACTCTAGATAAGGACGGTCTTACCAGCTTTATACATTGTGTTTGAAGATCAACTGTTCAATTTTTGTTCAGCTTTGATTACCAAATGTTGAAAATTATGTTTTTAAAAAGATCGAGAGTTAATAAAACTCCCAAATATTTGCCTAAGAAAGACTTAGGAGTCATACTAAAATAACCAGCTAAATTCCTCTTTTTAGAAGAAGGAACCATTTTTTAGAAGACAATATAAGACTTGTGAAAATTTATCAAATGACCCGAGATGGCAGAAAATTCCCCTAAAATATTTTGAATATGGGTACAGGCGGTGCCGGAGTAGCTTTACAAAATAGCAAATTATCATCGGCAAAGAGAAGGCAAGGAATAATTGGAGCAGATGGAGCTAATTATTCCTATACCATTCTTTCTATTCATGGAATCCAAAAGAATTTTCTTTGAAAGAACTTCCATACAAATTACAAATAAAACTGAGGATAAAGGATCACCTTGACGAAAGTCCTCTAGAAGGAATAATCATATTAGACGAATTTCGATTGACCACTGGAGAATAAGATATGGTGGTAACACGAGCTTTAATCTAGCTAACCCACATGTCATTAAAACCAAAAGCAGAAAGAGTTGCCCATAAAAAATCTCATTCAACTCTGTCATAAGCTTTTTCATATATCTAACTTCAGAGCTAACTGTCCTGATTTGTTTTTCGATTCATCAAAGATGTTCAACACTTCTTGAACCAAAAGGATGTTATATCTTGGATAGAAGTATCAGGGGCAAAATGAGTTAGAGATTTCTAACTAACAAATTAGGCTAGGCAAAAAATTGTAATAAATGACCCATCATTGTTTTCAAAATTGTTTAATGAACATATACTAATTCATATAAATTAAATAAATTCAATAAAAAATAAAATTGCTACGAGCAGTGAAAAAAAAAACCTAAGCATTAGTGACACCAATTTATTTATATTTATAATAGGTATCTATATTTATACCGACCATTATAAAAAAGTTCATTATGTTAACATACGTAGTAAAAGTTTGATTGATTGTTGATTCAAATTAAGTGGTATATAACATTTTAATTGAAACATTTTTTTTTTTTTTGAAGAAATCATTTTAATTGAAACTTTTGCATGAATGTTAGTTTAAGCTAAATGAATTCTGTACATGAATGTTTTTGATCCAATTTTTTATGAATGTTTTTTATCCAATTTTTTATGAATATTTTTTATCCAAATTTTATACTTCGTACATGAATGTTATTTTAAGCTAATTCATTAAAAATGTTAAATGTAGAAGGCTTCACATAGAAAGTTAAAACTAGGCATTACACCGTCTTTTCATAAAATAAAATAAAAAATACGTAGTACGAAAATACAAAAATTACCTATACGTGATTAAGTAATTAGTTATACCGTTATTTTATAAATATAATAAATACAAAATTACAGTGACCAATCCATAATATAATTAATATCTAAATTCATGCCGTTAAAGAAACTATTACCCAAATATATTCATTGTTTTCATTTAATGTTTGATTGTTGGATTAAACTATTGGGTTTAAGGGTCCGTTCTCATTTACGAAGCTGAGCTGAACTGAAATGAATATTTTATGAGAGAAAAAAATTAGAAACTAAATTGAACTGAACTGAAATTAAGCTGAAGAGAACAGACCCTAAAACAAGTTATATATATATATATAATACAGTCACGCCTCACGCCTCACGCCTAGAGAACAATATATACTTACTCCGTTACGCATTATGTGCAACATTTGTCAAAAGGGAAACTACACATTATGTACAACAAACTTTTTCTTTCCTTTTTTGGTAAATTTTTTTGAATGAAATTACTATAATACCCCTTGTTTAAGAACTAATAGCACTATTTTAGTTCCTAATTTAAATTAATTAGATTACTTAATATTAATTATTAAAAACCCCTTAAAAAAAACCCTTCTCTCCCCTACCACCATCATCACCGACCACCACCATCATCACAGACCACCCATGAGAACCACCAACACCACGAACATCTTTGACACCAAACCACTAACACCAAGGCCACCATAAACACCTCCGACACCGAACCATTACAACCACCAACATCATCTTGTTCATCTTCGTTCTTTATCGCAGCCGCTACCAGGCCACCACCAAGGATCTCATATTGAATGAAATTTGAAACGAAAGAGAAAGAGAACTGGGTGTGCGATTTTGTCGGTGGATTTCAAATCTAGGGATTTCAATGGTGATTTCGATGGTACGAATTTGCGTCGTGGATTTTGCGAGGTGGCTTTCGTTGGTACGGTTTTTGAGTTTCAATGGTGGATTACCCTTGCGGATTTTAATGGTGGATTTTGCTGGTACGGATGTACGTTTTTGCGTTTCCGTGGTGGATTTCGCAGGTAGTGGGGGTTTCAGGATTTTGCCGGTGGTTTCGCGTTGTGGTGTTAGTGGTCAGGGTTTCGGGATTTCATTGGTGTATTTCGGAGTTTCTGGTGGTGGTCGTCGTTTCTGGTTGTCAATGTTTTAGGGTTTTAGAGTTTCGCTGGTGGTGGTCATTTCTGGTGGTGGTGGATTTGTGGAGTTTTTGGCGGTGGCCTGTGTTTTGGGATTTTGCTGGTGGAGTTTTTTGGTGGTGGTCGTGGGAGAGTTTCTGGTTGTGGTGCTGGTGGTGAGGTTTTAGGTGGTGGAGGGGTGTTAGTTGGTGGTGATGTGGTAGATTATTAGTCATTCCACAGTTGAAGTACACATTAAAACAAAGAGTCTTATAAGACAGTACAAGCAGAAGAAAAAAGGTATCCTCAAATTCCCTGCAGAAAAAAGGTATCATCAAATTCCCTGCAGAAATACTACTCCGCAGTAGATATGGCGCAGCAGCAGGGCAGCTGCCGGCGAGAGGTTTCAAATCAAAATCCCTCACACAAAGACAAAAATTGCTCAACTCCAAGGGAGGGGTGAAATACATGAGAGAAATACTCAAGTCTTTATTATGATATAGTTCCCTCGAGGACTTGAGGTCTCCAAACATTCAATAATGCACTTGTACATGAACAAGAATGATCCTATATCTAAACTCGTCTGCTTCTCTACAAAATTTAGCAACCAGAAAGACCTTCATATATCTTACCGGCCATTCCTTGCCAATAAGGAATTTGGCCATTGATATGATGTTAACTTCAAAAAACCTTTCTTGACAGCTTACAAAGGGAGCTATATCTTGTATAACCTTTTGGTACTTAAATTAAGCAAAGTGTTAAGTGTACCAAACTACATGAATCTGAAATTTCTTGTAGCACTAATTGTTCTAGAAAGCAAGCCAGCACTTTTGACATTGGGCTGTGTCGCAGGCAACTCAGGACTGGGAGGCTTTTCTGTGATTTCTGTTACATTGCACCTGGGGGAAACCCTAGGATTGGCATTGTTCTTTACTGCTCCTGAATTCTTTTGAAACTCCTGAAAGGTTGGCTATGTTGGTTGTGGTTGAAAGCATGAAAAAAAAAATGGAAGTGAAAATGAAAACGTATAGCTTACCGTCAAGCCTGAGGTTGAGGAGGCATTACTTGGGTCTCCATTAGCCTGGAATAGAGAAGATGTATCAGCAAAAAAACATACCACGTATTATTCAATAGACGTGTAAAATCTCACTAGCAAACACCTTTGTGCTTGGCATGTTATTCCCAAAAATTGTAGCCAATATAATCTTAAGAAAAGACATCACTGGATGTTAACCCATTGGGTCCTATATGCTGCGGTCTTACAATCCATTGGAAACAAGGAAGAAAAAACAGCACTGGAAGCTTTTTTTTTTTTTTTTACCCTCTATTCAATTTAAACGTTTGTTGTTAATGTACATAGCATTGGTTGCACTCACAAGTGCCACTGAACTAACTAGATCAAATAAAGACTAATGGCCCTGATGACTATTGATTTTGAAGAGCCTTGTAAAAATGACTCTAAATTCACAAAGTATTAAATTAAAAAGCCAGCATGCGATGAGCACAAATTACAAACCTTACGGGATCCATTAGCAGTATGAAATTTACTAAGATCAACTTTAGTGTGACAAACAACCAATACATTTACAAACACAGACATAACAAGCACCAAAGTAATAAATCAACAACGGAAAGGCAAAAATTTTGGGAAGTTGTGTATCCATCAGAATTAAGTAGGAGATAAAAGCACACCTCATTAGATCCACGAGAAGTTGAAGGAGAGGAAGGCTCCAAGGTAAGAGGCAGGGACACAGACTGCAAGATTACAGCAGTCAACAAGAAATTGAGAGTATACCACAGAACTTACACAGCAGTAACTAAGGATCAAATAATGGATTGCCCCATTCTATTTTTTCAATTCAGCATTGTATAAACGAATTCAGTAAACATGCTTCAAAATTTTAAACACTGGAAACCAAAATTTCAATGAAAGACCGCCATGGTTCAACATCTTCCAAAATCCTAACCCAGAAACACCTAATAACATCACAATTCAAACATGAAAACTAGGGAGCTGTTTCAATATAGTAGTAGAATAGAAGTCTGAACTCGTTAACAGAGATGATCTTGTCAACCAAAATAAACTTCCAGAGTAGATGGCAGATGTTTTTTAAAAATAAAAAATACCGAAGAATTCTCAAGAACCTCATTAACAGCAGTCACTGAACATATAAACCCAACTATATTCCTCACCCATCTGGCAGTGACCATGCATCCTTAATTAATATGATCAATGACAACTTGAATGCCAAATTGCCCTTTTAACAGAAAAAAAAACATGCATAAAAAATGCTTCATTATCCAGGCTTTGCAAAGTAGCATAGCTATCATGTGGTTGTAGTTCACAGCATAAAGCATAACATTTACCCTTGAAGGTGTTGCAACTTGATGTTCAATAGCAGGCCTAGAAGCAGCTGAAGGAGAATCCTACACATTTGGAAACAGTTCAATCCACAAAAAAATTACCAAAATGGAAATCAAGAGAGTTCTTCATGCATCAAAATTAAGAGAGAGGGAGAGAGAGACATAATGTAACATGCTCAAAATGGAGGAAAAGTGATAGAACACATGAGCTAAAGTTTAGAGAGCAGAAATAATATACAACAAGAAAAGACTACTGACTTATATAATATCAATTATGAACATTCAGATATAAAGCCCAAGACTGCCTGATAGACAACATATAAACATAAGCACAAACTTTGAGAATGTAAATAATGATTTTGCAAATATGACAATTATTTAATAAACATCGGAAGCAGACAACCAAAATATACCTGTATAAGATCTGTAAACATATTTTCCATTTCAAGTGTAGAAAGTAACAATTTTGCCACTCCATCTTTCGTCTCATCCTGAAAGTAGTTTGGCAACAGTTATAGCATGAGATAATGTTTTCATTTTGTACTGTAATATTATTCTGCATAGATATTCAAAACGGTAAAAAATTGGACCTGTTTTCCTTGAATCCTGCCCATTCTTGTCTCCTAAATTCAAAAAGAAAAAAAAAGGTCAGATAATGTATTACCCCCCTAGCCAGGGAAAAGATTTGGTAAGTTAATGATCATCAACAACAAACATAACTAGGTAAACATGTGTTACCAGAGTTCGAATTGTATCATTGACTTCTTGAAGATCCGCAGCAAAGTTTGAAACCTCTCCACTTACTGCAGCTACCTGAAAAGATCAATGAGAACTCGGAATCTCAAAAAAATTGACATGAAAGCAAAATTTGCTGCCAATACTAAGAGAGCAGAATGGCAATGCCACACATATTTTGTTCATTTACCAACATTATCTGCATTAATCTAAATATCACACCAACATCTCACAAATCACATAGAGGACATCTTACTACCTGCCATGCAACTTTAATAATAGCATGCACATGATGAGAACAGCAGACACAAAGATAGGTATTAAATTGCTAAATATCTTAGGCCTTGAATTCTAACCTGTTAAAACTCTACCTTTTCTCATATTGCTAGTTATAAGCCACTAATAGAATGCTTATAATTAAACATGTTGGGTATGCTGGACCGCTGGACGAGAGAAGCATCGTATTCAACTCAAAAAAATAGCATAATACGCATGGGGGGAAAAAATTACAAAAGAAGCATATTACTTAATTGTGATGGGCTAGCATGCAGAGAGAGCTGGGAATAATGAAGTAATGGAATTTGAGTTAAAAGCTGAGAAGCATACAAGATAATATCAAGGAAACAGAAACTTGTAAAGGAAGCTGCAAGGTAAGAAAATTATTATTAGCCTTTTTTTTTTGGTGGGGTGGGGGGGGGGGGTGGCGCTTATCTTACAGAAAGAAATCAGGTATCAAAGCCCCCCCCCCCCCCCAAAAAAAAAAAAAATAATAATAATAAATGGATGTGAGTCACAAATAGAGGTGGTTATCGGAGAGGGTAGTCCAATGGTAAAAGGGTTATTATTGGGCTTTATGTTAAAGGATCATTGTAGAGTTTCTATTGGCAGCCCAATGACCTTTAATATATAATGCTCCATATCATCTAAGTTATATTCACTTGAATATATAAAGTCCCCATCAAAATGATTATAATACTGAAACAGCATCGGCACCCAATAGTCTAATGTTGTCCATCAAAAGAAATGTGTAGTTACTGGTTCCCAAGCTTTGTGGACCAATTCAACGGTTCTCAAACTCCTCAAAAGACAAGCAAAAATATCACTGTGTGAGGGATTCGAAACCATACCTCCTCCTTCGTAGAGTTACTACATGCAATAATTTCTTCAAATTTATTACTTGATTGGTCAAGTTTGGAAGCTATCTCATTTCTGGTAGTCTGCATCAATGGAGAATGAATGTCAGATCTAAACACAAATAATATACTTAAACCTGTAGTTTTACAAAAATGAATTGAGATAAAATCCTAATTTCTTTAACTCTCAACTAAATATATATAAATCCAATCATTATTTCATATTTATGAAAAAAGACATGGAAGAAGAAAAAAAAGCCTGTCCTAATTTAGCAAAGAGAATAGTTTCCATATGTTATATTTTATAAATTTAATATTCTAAGATCAACTTGACTACTATAATACCCACAAAAAGACCAACAGATATAGTATATATTCCAAACTATACACATACAATTATATTCTAAATCAAAGAATCAATACAAATTATCTTCCATTTTGTTTTTCCTTGACCTGTTGACCCCTTTGAACAATTAGTATCAATTAGCTATCACTTCAACATAATATTGATAGCAGTCACTTTTAACAATTAGTATCAATTAGCTATCACTTCAACATAATATTGATAGCAGTATCTCTCTCACATTTTTTTGAACTTCCCGATTGAAACTTCTAACAGAGCATGCTCAAAGAATGTAGCAGTGAAATCTATTCACGACAGATGGCTATGAAATGTAGTTTGTTGAAATAATATTTATACTGGTAAAATTATTGTTTAACTTTGTAACAATGCACCACATAACGCAAGTGACCAATTACTCCCTCCCTCCCCAATTAAAATCCCATAGCATTAAAAAAATCCTGTCCCTAAAAAAGACATTTTGTGTGTGTGTGTGTGTGTTGGGGGGGGGGGGAGGTTCTGGTCTTTAAAGACAGTCACAAACTCGTAACATGAAACTAAATGGCCAAATAAAATATAAAAATAGATAACAAAAAAGAAAACACCCAATACATTAGGTGAGCTGCTGGAAGTGAGAAACTTGCCCTTAGTGAAAGAAAAACTTCATCAAGCTGCTTCGCAACAGCATTGCAGGCATCTGATAAGCCACGTTTGGTCGCAAACATGAAGTCAGGAATTTTCCAACCCTATCAATGTGCAATAACAAAATAACATTGAGTGAGTAACTTCTTCATTGTTAACAGAATCAGCAATTAAACATTTGGACTAGCACAATAGCATATAGGGTGACACATATAATCAAATTATAAAGGCTGAACAGAAGCAATTAAAAATTTTCACAAAATCATATTAGTCCCTCAAACAAGTATACCTTCATCTACTTGACAAATACATATTTTGTCGATCAATCATCAACCACCACAGACAGTGGAATACCATGTTTAGCATAGATAAGAGAACATATATGTGGATAAAATCTTTCTACGTAGACAGACATCATTTGGATAAAAAAGAAAAAAAAAAAAGAGGGCCCAAATACTGCCAACAATAACACTAAATAAGTAAATAGAAAGATGTGCCTGCATATGGTTTATTACCACAAAACAATGGCTGTAGTACGTTAGCAAATCTAGATTGCTTAGAGAAAGGACTTTGGAAAGTGGCGTAGATGAAATGGCCATAAGATTAGGATTTTTTTGCAAAACAACCATCATAACCTTTGGAAGCACAAGGAACGTGCTAAGCAATGTTCCCAATGTGGTTAGAGCACTTGACTTTATTTATTAATTTATTTATTTATTAAATGATGTCTCATTTTACAACATTGAGAATTGACAAGTGTTGAAAGAATTCCTGAGATAAGCTTGTTCACCAACAACCAATAATCAAGAACAAAGCCAACAAAAGACAAAGTTTGAAATTTTAGTGGGCTCTTCACCCCCACAAAAAAAAAAAAAAAAAATAAAAAAATAAAAAAATAAAAAAATTGCTCAAGTAAATAAACCATAGATTATTAATACAGAGAATCGTGCAAGGTGTTAAAGCCAAGAACAAGATAGAATATTAATAACTTGCTTCTGCAAAGTAACACATAGCTTTTGCAATATACTTATTATAATAATTTACTTTCTGAACAAATTAGCCCAACCTTTCTCTGCATATGCAAGGGGCAATAATATAGAGCATTTGTAAATATTTAGACAGTAGATCAATGGCATAACACGTTTCATACAAGCGAAAGACAGATAGCGTTGTCGCTAGAGATGCTCAAGTACTGTGATCATGGCTTTGTTGCAACTAGCTACTGTTAGGGAGGGAACTCGATCAAGCTATGAAATGTTAAACGTAGGGCAAACTAATAAACTTAGGCATCTTAACATTAAAACTTTACCTTCCACCACACATATCCATAGCCAACAGCAACAATCACAATTATTACACCATATTTACGGCCACCTATATAAAATAAAAGAATAATATCCCATCAGCTGATACGAAACAAGTACATGTGGAAATAAGGCAGCATTTGCTAAATATCCATAGCTTAAAAGGGGAAAGGAGACATGTCAAATGTTTGATAAAGCAACCAGACATCAATAAACTGAATCTGGGAAAATTCTTTTTTTTTTTTTAAAATAAAAAAATAAAATAAAATAAAGTGCTCCATCCAATAGAAAAAAGATGTCCGAAAATACTACTTTATCATTTCCAACAGGAAGAAGTGAACATTAAACAGAAAATAAATTTCACTAGAAGTCCAACATCAGTTCCACCACAAGCAACAGAGGTCGGTCCACCTCCTAATCCACCTGGGGCCAAGCCCTCACCGCCAATAAAACCACTAGAAAAATCACCATTCCATCCTACCACCATCGAGGGAGAAGAGTAGATCATACCAGCGAAACCACCACAGCCAACACTGCTTCTGTCACTCACCACCTTTTTCTCTGGCAGACCAGCCACCCAGACCACCACCAGACCTACCCTTTACGAAGCCACCTCCTATGTTCAGACCGCAGTGGTCTTACAACTACGCTCACATTTTCCGGCAAGGAATCCAGGACCCCTGCCAGATCCACTACCACTGGGCACTGGCACTGCCCCTCTCGAAAATTTCTCCTAACCCACCACCATTGAATATACCAGTCACCCTCCCACGTGCGGTACAGAGAACACCCCTAAGTTTACAAGCCCCGTCACCAGACTCATCGCGACTCCAGCTTGTCTTGCACCAAAACCAGCTCTCTGTGCAGCGACTGACTCGAAGAAAACTCCAGTTGGTTTATCTGTAAAATCACCAGAGAAGTAACTTTTGAAAGTTCTCACCCCAACGCCAAATCCACACCCCACAGGATCTAACACCACTCGACTTTTCTGATGTACAACCTCGCTGCTGGACAGGGGACCACATCAAGGATCATATTGTGATGCCGTCGAATGAAAATGATGCACCACCTGAACCTTCAATTCCTCCCACCTGAAGAATTGGTATTACCGACTTTCCAATTCAAACCATGGCCGTGCATTGCCAACCAGTCCAGGGTGGCAGCCTTTAACTTCTTTTCATTCAACTGGAAAAATTGAAGAAATTACTCCATCGAAATGATCCAATCAGTTGAGTTTCTTCCATTTAACTCATATATTTGAAGCTCTTGTCGGCATTTCTGCTCCTCCTTGAGATCCGAAATTCCTCGCTCCTGTGGTGCGAAATGTGTTCGAAATTTTCTTGAATCCATTTCCTCTGCTGCATCTATCCTAGCCAATTACATTTTAATTTTTTTATATTCGGAGGTGGTGGTTGCCGGCACCGAAGATCCCAGAACCACTGCGCTCATACCAAGTTGTAATAAACTGATTTTCAGACCAAGTATTTCTGATTTAACAAGGCACATGAATAAAAATGAAAGCTTGTTGTTTGATTGTTAACGACAAAAGAGGTTACAAATGATAGGTTAATATCATAGGCTATTACTCTCTTTGATAACTTTAAGGTATCACACTCAGAGTAATTTGAGGTTACCATTCTCTTTCATTCCACAATACAACTCTCATGCCTATCTAGTGCTATGCTAATTCCCTTTTATAATCAAGCAAAACTACAAAAATAACCTAAATAATGTTTGTCCACTGCTCAAGAGTATCAGAATTCAGTCCTATAAAGCCACACTCCCTAGTGCTTCCTTAATTAATTTTGTCTCCTAGTGCTGCTCCTTGTACCGGATCCATTACATTGCCATTGCTGCAACCATTTTCAATAAGAATTTTTCCTGGTTCCCAAACTGTTATCTCATCCACACCAAACAACCAGGTTATATTTGTTCAGGAAGTTAAGATATTTCACTGAGAGTCCACAGAGGCAATTGAAATCAGAAATTCGAGATTTATTCCTTTCGTTTTCAGTTTCTCACCCCATACAATTAGTTCTAGCAAGGTATACGATACAACAGTCATTTACTATAATTTAGCTATGCAGGCAATAACAACTTGTTTTGTCTGAACAACTAGGTAAAGAAAAGCTACCTGTTGCATTAGAAGTCACAATTGTCGTCGATCCACTTGATGCAATGAGCTGCAGCTGTTGCCTTAAAGTATTGACCTGAAAAAGTCAGACCAGAATTCCAATCAATTAAAACCAAATATTTCTGTTGAAAGCCATAAGATCATTAATTGTATCGAAAGAGAAATAAAACACCGCCTAACATTAAAAATAGCATTATGGTTTAATATATATATTCAAGCATTATAAAAATTAAAAAAAAAAAAAAAGAAAGAAAGATCATGGATTAAAATGATGTATTAAGGGAAGAAGAAGGATAATAGTGAAGATCAAGCTAGATATGACTATATTACTGCCAATTACCCATCTTTCGAGAGGACTGGCACTTTACCAAAGCAACAAACTAATCAGTCATCACAATATTCAACATGACTCCACTCTATCATTAGCTCTATGTATAGAGCTCTCTTTCTAGCTAAATAGCTTATAATTTATGACAATAACTCATGATATAACTACTAAAAATGCCTCCACCCTTATCAGCAATTCATAGCATTAAAATGCCATCTTTGGCTCCCCTATTACTAATTCATAGCAAATGGTCAGGAGGGAAAGAAGGAGATAAGATGCTATATAACGAAAACAAAAAAGGAATGTGTGGGATCATTTAAAACATAGCAAGGAAGCACGACAGAAAAAGAAAATAAAACATCAATACCACTCAGAATAATCTGAATTGAAGGAACCACGATATGAAAATTTTAAAACGCATTACAAATTTTCCTTTGAAACATAACCTCTGATTGTTATTATGAGAAAAGTAACATGCAACAGTTGGTTGCTCAGTTAAGTTGATTTCATGTTTACAGCTAAATTCTATTGTGTAGACTCTACAGTGAAATACACCCCAGAAAACAAGGCAGGACAATCATGTGAAAAATCAGACAAAGTATTAATTAATAAGTGAACAAAATGAGCAGATGAGAGGTCAAAGAGATAGAACACGTTGAAGAGACCAAAGTTCTACAAATCAAACAAGACTTTCTAGTTTTTCCAAGTAGCATTTAAGATACAAAAATATCTGGCAAAGAAGGCAGTGTATCTCAAATACATAGCCAATAGATTCTTTCCAACAGGCGAGTTTTCAATAATTTAATTTTTTATAATGGAAAGATCAGAAGGCAAATGGTTAGTAAGTTAGAAGCTCTTCAAAAAAAATTACAAAAAAAAAAAAAAAAAAAAGAGCATGCCTTACCAACAACTTCTTGCCTAGATTCTATATAACCTACTTATTATCAGATTAGTTTTTGCCACTTTGAACAAAATTAAGTTCTATATTTATACACTATGAGGAAACTATATTCTTATAGTTATTAGGAAAAAATAAACATTAATAAAAGAAATGAGCAAATTAACTACTTTATTGTAAGTAAATACCTCAGCCACCAATGCATCATTTCTTGGTTTGGATGTTGTGGAAGCAGAATTGCTTTGCTTTAATGGCTTTGAAGCAACCTGTGATACAAGTCACAGAACAGAACATGTATAATTCAAAAATGCTATGGAAAGGTGAGGTGGACCATTCTGAACAGCTTATAACTTTAAAGCAGGAACAGAAAAACTACACATAAACATAACACAATAACATAAAATAAAGAAGAAATACAGAAGTGGCTAACCAGCTATTTGGGCATATGCAGAGTACTGGAATTTTTAAAAATTAAAAAAAAAAAAAAAAAAAAAAAAAAAAAAAAAAAAAAAAAGCCTGAATAAAGATAGACACCTTCCAGGCACCTGAGATGACATCAGAAAAGCTGGGCATGCGCCCCTCTTTGGCTAAAATTGAACCCAAGATGCCTGCAAAACAAAAGGTAAAATTGTAAATAATGAGCAGTTTTGCAAATAATGAGCAGTTCAACTTCCAACATATTTCAGAAGGGCAGAGACCAAAATGTGCAACCATTTTGAGCTAAAAAAAAAAGTTACAAAATGCCATTAAGCCCATGTAATTTCTCACAAAATATGTGATATGACACAGGAATTACAGTATTTGCAATGAGCACTGACTTATGTGATATGACACAGGAATTACAGTATTTGCAATGAGCACTGACTTACCATTTACAATTTCTTGATAATACAAGTATGTACAAAAATAATTGGTTTGACTTTGAGCCAGATGTACAAATATTTCCTTAACAATACCAGTACATACCAAAAAATGGTATGACTTTGAGCCAGATGAATGAGAAGTATTCAGTATAGAGAAGAGGCATGCAACTTGTTTCACAAAAGAGGAACTTGGAAATATCATATAACAAAGTGAACGTTTAAACAAACACACCACAAGGACACAAATGTTTTATAATGCAGATATGGTGTGCGTCCCTATTTAACTGACAAGGTTTGACTGGCACGGAGTATTAGGCATACGGATTGACTAGTATTTTATTATGTGAAATTTGGTAGAGGGTAATCATTTTAATGTGTTAAGGGGATTTTGAGAACCATTACTTTTGTTGATGGGAGAGGAAGTTGATTTTAAAATGTTTTTATAGAAGTAGGGGAAAGAAAAATGGGGCCCATAACATGTGAGAAAAATAATATACTACATAAAATTGATGAGACCATTCCTTTTTAGGAAAAAAATAGAATTGTGTCAACTGAATAGGGATGGCTCTAAAAAATAATAAGTCGACTAAATAGGGACATAAGAAGTATGTATTATATTGTAGAAACACAATAAGCTCCCATGATCTAATGAAGTTACCAAGTACAACACCCCTAATTAATAGAGTGTCCGCTCTCATCAGCCAAGTTATAACCTTATTTTTCACCAAATACCACCGAGTTAATGCGTAATTCACCATATACCACACAAAATTTTCTAATTCACCATATACCACTGAGTTAATGTATATTAACACAGAATGCCCTTTTTGTTAACTGTCGTTAGTCTGCCGTTAATGCCGTTAGTAATTAAGGTTAATTATGCCACGTGGCTGTCACATATTGGCTCTTATTAATATTATCTAATTAATTAGTTAAATAAAGAATTAAAAAAAAAAAACAGCCTCCTCACTCCACCAACCCCGACACCCCCTTCCCCCACCAGCCCAGCTCCCCCTCCCTGCCGGCGGCCTTGCCCAGCCTCCTCCCTCGCCGGCGGCCTTGCCTAGCCTCCTCCCTCGCCGGCCTTCCAGAGCTCCCCCTACCCCTGCCATCTCCCCTTCCCGTCCTCCTCCCAAACCACCAACGTCTCCCAGCCAACCACCACCCTATCCTAACATCCCCTGCTTGCACGAAATATGACTAGAACCCCCAGCCACCACCCTATCCCGCCCCCACCCACGCCGGCGCCCAGCCTTTCTCTCGCCAGCGCGTCGGCCTCCCTCTCCCCCTGAACCGACAACACTCAAAATCTGCAACCATACAACAACATCAATTCGACTTATCAGCATTTTTTTCGAACAAATTCGCTTCTAATTCGACCTTCTCTCTCTTCGTCAAGATTTGATGGGTGGTTTCTTTGCCGTCGATATTCCAATTGGGATTTGCAAGAGGGAAATTGAGGATTTTTTTAGGGTTAGAGAGATCGGGAATCGGGGAAGGGGAGTCCGGCGAGGAAATCGGGAATTGGGTTACAAGTGGGGGATGATTTTCGGGGAAGGGGAGTAGGAGTGGGATGGTCGCCGGTGTAGGGGGAAGGGGTCGAGAATGTCGCCGGCGGGGGGAAGGGGCCAGGGGAGGGCAGTCGCCGGCCATCTGGGAAGTGGCTGGGATCGCAATTGTTGCCGCCAGGGGTGGCGGTGGCTTGTATTGGTGGTGTTTAATTTTTATTTATTTTTTAAAATATTTTATCTAAATTTAATTAATTAAATAAATAATATTAATTAGAACCAATTACAAGCTGCCACGTGGTACAATTAACGTTAATGACTAACTGAGTTAACGGAAATGGCATGTTGTGACATTTATGTTAAACTCAGTGTTATATGGTGAATTAGAAAATTTTGTGTGGTATATGGTGAATTAAGCATTAACCCAGTGGTATTTGGTGAAAAATTCGTAATATGTACAAGAACACCTCAACCATTTATCATCCTAACAACAAAACTAAAACCTACGTGTCTACAAAACTATAATCTTGACCTTAATACACTAAATAAGACAACACAAAGTTAAAATTATCTGCTAAAGCCCTGAAGGACTTCTACTGAAGTACTGACTGCATACTCAAACTGCTCTCTTCACTCACAGGAAATCAAAATCAAAGCTAGGTACCAGGTATGGATTCCCAAAAATTCTTTAATTAGAGGATAATCATGGAACAGAAGCCAACAAATTTTCATGAAGCCTTACATTACGGCTGTCTATGACTGTATGCAGTCATGAGTGAAATTCTCACAGCAAATGTTACACACAATTCCACTAAATCCATTCTGTTTGTTTTGATTAAGTCTTTTGAAGCAAACAACAAAGATAATATGTAGTAACATTTAACAAACGATATCCATGACAATAGAGACTCATATGTCATATCTCAGCAATCAGTGCGCAAAAGAGCGGAAATTTTCAATTAGTGGATTTAACCTACACTAAGAGGTTTCGTCAGCTAGAAAAAAAAAATCAGGGATATTCAAAACTCCAAATTTCTGGTGTAATTCCTAGCCAAATACATCATTATGCTGTCACTCACCACGCCACACCCTAAGCCATGAAGTAAAGGTTGGAAACTGAGGAGTAGAAAATTTTGCCAATTGTTTACTACTTTGGACTACAACACTTAGAATGTACCATTATGGAAGGCACCCAAATCTGAGGCACAATTCCTTTCAATACCACACTTTCAGCCTCTATATCATGTGCATACCTAAGTAGTAAACACTAAACAGAACAAAGAATCTGAATAACTTAATGTAGTAAGCGGTTGCCACGATGAAGAAGGTTATGTACTGGATACAAACACAGAACCTCCCTGTCTAATATCCTTAATTACTCACCAGCCGAAACAAAAGAGAAACATATTGTACCATCAGCAAGCACTCCATCCAGCAACATTCTGGTTCTCAGTAGTCAACAAAGCTACTCCTTGAGGAAAATTCCATAGAACAAAAATACGCGGGTTGATCTGATCCTTAAAAACCCTATTATCAACATTCTGGGTTTCAGTAGCAGAACCGAAAACTAGCAACCTTATGTTCCACACTGCTACCAAGTTCGGATATCATGAACAACCATCAGCTCAAACATATCCTTAATAACTTAACTATTATTGAATGATTCAAGCATAAAATTACCCTTACCATCAGCAAGCACTCCATCCAGCAACATTCTGGTTCTCAGTAGTCAACAAAGCTACTCCTTACTATAAGGAAAATTCCATAGAATAAGGATACTCGGGTTGAACTGATTAACAACATTCTAGTTCTCATTACTCAACATCCAGAGCTGAAAACTAGCACCCTTATGTTCAACACTACAACCGAGTTCCGATATCATGATCAACCATTAGCTCAAACAAAATCCTTAATAACTTGAGAACTACTATTGAATGATTCAAGCATAAAATAACCCTTAGGAAAAAAAAAAAATTTGAATTTTGGGCAAAAACAACAATGTCCACAAGGTATTCCACAAAAAATCTGATGACCCAATTCACTACCCCATTATAAATTCAATCTATACCCATTTCACAAAATTTCATCAAATTGCAAATATAACAAAAATCAAACAAACCTCCCTAATCATCAACTAAATTCAACCTAAAATAAGAGAAACAATAACATTAATAAAAACAGTAGCACATTGAAATTTGAGAAAGGAGAGGAGAGAGAAAAGCCAAACCTGCACCAACGAGGATAGTGAGCTTCCCAGCCATTGATGGAGAAAACCCCACCAAAAACCCCTAAAACCAAATTTAATTCCCAATACAAAAAGGGACCTTTTTTCAACACTTGGATCGATCTTCCTCCAAAATCCAAACCCCAACAAATCGGTCTCTCTTTCCCTTAATAATGAAGCTCGAAGTCAAGCTCGAACTCCCTGATTCCGCCGCACACCAATCTCTCTCCTGCGCCCTTCCGCCGTTTCTCCGGCGAACCCACTTCCAAAACAACGTCTTCTTCGACGACACCAACTTCGAGGTGTTCTTCGATTGGGGTGTTCAACAAATTACTGGGTAGAAAATATAGAGAAGATGAGCAGTGACTTGGAGAAGGGGGCGCGTTTTCTCTCTCCTCTTTGTGTTGAGGTTGGGGTTGGGTGCCCAATTTCGATTGTGTGGGGGAAGAGAGAGAAAATTGAAGAAGGTAAATTCGAATTTGGTGGGGAATCTCTGATATCCGATTTTGCAGGTTAGCCTAGATTATGTGGCTAGGGTTACGGTAGGAAAAAAAATTGTGATTAAGAGGCCTATATGTTTTTATCATGTAGCCCAAATATAATAAGGTACTAAAAATTTCAATGGGTTGAACATTGGAACTGGATTATAGGAGGTCAATTATAATACTTCTTCCGTTTTTTTTATTTGACCCGACTTTTACACTATTGACTATTCACCACCTGTTGAACGTATTTTGTGAATTATTTGTAAGAAAAACGTATCATGTGGGATGTTGTTGAAATTGTCATAATCATATTATATAACTTTTATAATTTTTATTTATGGAGAATCAAAGTTATTAATGGCTAAAATTTTACATTGACAAGCGTGATAAATGAAACTGGTTAAGTAAAAAGGAACGAATGAAGTATTATAATAAGGTACCAAAACTTTCAATAGGTGGAACTGGATCTGACTTCATATGGATACATCAATAGAATCTGTTACACTTTGATCGGCATAAACTTTCAGGTAAACTAATTTACTTTTTACTATAAAAAGATATAGGTGAGGTAATAAGAGTATTAAATAAATAATGGTGTTAGTATTTTACTGAAAAGTAAAAAAATTTAGGAGGAAAAGAAATAATAAAAATTGACAGTGGATATGAATGGATACCATGAGAAATGAGTGATATCATAATATTAAAATGAGGTAGTTTTTGCCTAGAATGAAAATGTAACACTTACAAAAATGGTAGTATTTGGTAAGTGTATCACTTAAGAAAAACGATGAGATAAGCAGTGTAGCACTATATCTAAAAATGACAATAGGTTGAGCAAGTTCGTGGCATGGACAACATATCACAATATTTGCTAGCGCCTATATGGTTAGCAAAAGCTGACCTAACCCAGTAATTTGCCCCGATTTAAAATTACGTGTTTGGGATGAGCTTTTCTACCTAATTAACTAAATGGGTTGTCACAAACCTGATTTGAAATTAAATGGATTGTGAAGGTTGTGAATTATAGCCTTAGAATGACTTAGCTTGGGTAACGTGAGATTTAATTAGTTTATGTTGCACACTAGTGCAGATTTAATAATTGGATCACACCCGATAAAATGAACATTTAATAAAAATTATATGAACACGTTAAAAAATGAAAAATTATTTATAGCAAATGAGCAAGTCAAAAAATGAATACTTCTTAATAATAAATGAACACGTAAAAAAAAATAACATCTATATCTATCTATATATATATTAAAACCCAAGGCAAGAATTGCAATCATGCCACGTGTCATCATTTTTGCCGTGTGTCATCATTTTTAATTTGTCACATGTTGTCATGAATTGATAAATGTTGTGGGGTCATGTGATTCATGTCATATTAAAACTAATCATCAATTTTTCCTCACAAAAAATTAATGTTCATAAATTCTATTTTTTTTTTTAATCCTCATTCTTTCATCTTCTCATTCATTTAACAAATAAAACAAATTAATATGATAATGAATTTTGTTAATGTTCAATAAAATTAAAAAAAAAAAATCAATTATAAAACCATCAATAGATTTCACTTTATTATTAAAGTTATTTTTAAAACAATTTACTATAGTTTTTTATATACAAAAAAATTACCCGGGGTATCGCCCGGGCCTCAAATTAGTTTAATATTATAATCTATATTTTATATCTATACTTATGTATTAAACAACGTTCCTAAAACTGAATATGTGTCACGGTACGTGGCCCACGTGGCACCCTTCATATCTATTAAATTTATGTCAGATCACTTTTCATATGTATTGTATATCATATAATCCATTGTACTATAAGGTCTATGTATAACATATTTTAATGACAATAAAAATGCTTATTACAAGATTTGGATGCAAGACCAACAAGAAATGAGTTGACATTGTTACCATCTTTGCTATCTTTTAATTATGTTTCATATTCAATTATAATACAACTAAATAATTTATATTAAACATCAAGTTGAGAGCACTTATTTAGTTTCATAGTTAATAGTTATTATTGTTCACTTCAATTTTAATTATATAGTTTTTATTTTATAGGTCAAATAATATTTGTTGATATTTAAAGTAAAACCCGGTGCATTGCCCGGGCCATACACTAGTTATACAATTATAAAAAGGAACATAAAAATTCAAATTAATATAGAAAAAATTAGTCAAAACAATTAACTTTAGGTCATTTTTTTAGATAATTTCAACTGTACATTATTTTTAACTAATCCAAATTTTAGTAGGCATACACTGTAAACAAACCCAAGTGACTAATAATATAGGAGTAAACTCAAATTGTGAACATTTTCACTTGTATCCTACTTACAATAACCATGACATATTAACCAATTTACTTTCTAGGTCAACATATATGAAGAAATTGTTGACACAAGATATTCGAGGATGATGATACGAAGTTAAATACTAAATTAGGCAGTAATGTACGCTTCACCATCATCCTTTTTTGAGGGGACACAATCAATTTGAATTGGTGTCTACAGACTACAAGTACAGAGTGGGTACTATATATGTATGGATTTATATAAAAAAAATAAAAAATTAAACTAGCTATAATATGCACGCGATGTATGTTTCATCAAATTACATGTGATTTCAAAATATGATCAATCGTGCTCGTTGCTTGTAGTGATTTAATACGAAGTAGTATTTAACCTATCCAATCCTATTCTTGTTGATTAAAAAAAAAAAAAAAACTAATATGTAAAAATACTTGTAATTGTTTATAAATAAAAAAATCCAAGGCATGCATGCTTTGCTTAGCTTAGCTTAGCTTAGCTTGTACAATTTACATACATAGTATATTATTACGAAGTATTAAAAAAAAAACAAGTAACATTAGGTTTTTCCCCTCCTTTTTCCCCTCGATCTAAAACTCATCACCTTTTTTTTTTTTTTTTTTTTTTGGTTTGAAGATATTAATAAAAAAAAAACCAAGTAATTTAAAAGGAAGTGTAAATTTGCATTTGAGTCAAAATATGCTCAAAATTATCTGTTGATCTTTCAATAGAGTGAGAATGAATTCCTTCATAAGTAGTGACAACTACTCCTTCATCGTTGGAAAGGCGTTGAACTTGTTTCTTCACATTGCATCCTTGATACGTACACCTGTAGTAGCTCCTGCATATTTTCAATACAAATGAGATAATAAATATTTGCTATCTTAGAATAATTATTGAATTTTTAATGATAATTAATAAGATGATTAAACTATAATCAATTCAAATGAAGTTGACTGATGATGAGAACAGGTTTTTTCTTTTATCTTCTTTAATATTCTTTTATACGCATGCGTTCATCTACATGTTCATGACTTTTGTAAGGAAAAAAATTATTAATTCAAGCAATTACTATAAATGTAATTTTATACTCCATGTAAAATAAAATCAATTACTTTGTATATATTATACAAAGAATCTTAATTATATTATTTGGTTTTTATTACGATAAGGGTCTGTTCTCATACGTTTATTTTCAGTTCAGTTAAGTTCAGTTCAGTTCAGCTCCTAATTTCCTTCTCTTATAAAATATTCATTTCAATTCAGTTCAATTCAGTTCAGTTCAGTTGAGTTCACTGTACGAGAACAGACCCTAAGTATACTGAAGCTAAAATTCACTTACAGAGTAGATATTTTCATACGAAGTATATGTATAGATGTATTTAGCCGAGAAATATAATAATCTTGAATTTAGGATGTTGCACATTAATTAAAGGACCTACACTTACTTCTAATTAAGCTAGTTACCCATGTCTACACTAGAATTTACAAAGTATATAGTAGTATTATTTCCACAAAACAAAAAAAATGAAGAAAAGAATTTGTGTTGTTGAGTATTCTAATTGAATTTTTATCTTTATTACTTCATTTTGATATAGAATATTAGAGTGTATTGAGTGTCGTAATTGAATTGTTATCTTTATTACAACATTTTGACATGAATAGCATCTTTTTATATTACTATAGAGCGGTTGTTTGAATTGAACCAAAAAATTTCACCGAGTATATTAGCTGATTACTGTAAATTAAAGATCATCCCTATGATAGAAGACATTTGACGAAATTAAAAAAATCAATGAGATAATTAAGTAATTAACTATGTGATACTAATTTGTTTTAGTACAAAAATACATCTATACACATACACAAGAATATAAACACACCTTGGAAACTTGTTATTCTTGACGGCCTTTTGACCATATTTTCGCCATCTATAGCCATCATCAAGTATATCAACTTGGCTTCTTGTTTGAAAAGCATACCTATGCTTCTTTGCCTTCTTTTCCGACGAACCCTTTTTTTTATTATTATTATCATTATTATTATTAATTAACTTATTATTATTATCATTAGTCATATTATTAAACCTCTTAATTTGATCACCATCATTGTTAGTATCTTGATGATTTTGAGGAATAATAATATCATGATAATTATCTAGTAATTGAGATTGAACAACCATGGATGATGGAAACTGCTGCGGCGGCTCACCCATCATCATTAACTCCGTGATCAACGGTCCAGATTGGCTCCCTACACCGTGATGATCGTGATTATATTGATCTATAGCATGATCAAAGCTATTATTGGAAGAACTAGAAACTTGGCTTAATGAAAAAGGAAAGTTACTATTATTAGTTGGTGAAGAATTTGATGAGTTTGTAGAAGAAGAAAATATAGAGTAGCCTTCCATTTTTATCTAGAGAGAGAAAGAGGAGAGAGAAAGAGGGTTTATTATTGTATGTTTGGTGTAAATAAGATGATCATAAAAAGGGTTATATTATGAAAGTAGATGTAGATTTATAATAGTATGTGTGTAGTGTTGTGTGAATTAAGGGGTAGAAGTAGAAGAAATATGGCGGCTTGATTGATGGCGGCCTATCTTTTTTTTGTAAAAAAATGCGCATGTGTTTTAGACTAGCAATAGTTAAAGCTTGGTTATTGGTCAATAGATAATTGGTTACCGCGATTGCATCGAATATTTTTGATTCATTGATGTTGAATCTTTTGTATTTGTACATTATTTCAATTCAATTTGAGTCATTATCTGTATTTAAAGTAAATAATTTTTTATTTTATTAAATTTAAAAAGATTCTACAAATGACTGTGATTTGAAAAATTTATCCGAAACTAGATGAAAATTTATTGAACATCATATACAATTTCATTTGAATGCGTTTAACAATTGCAAAATGTAAAATGATGAGACAATAAAGTAAACAATTTTAATACAAAAGACATTTAATTTGTGCAGTTAAAAAAAAAAATCCAAAATCCTCCAATATGACTATAATTAATATAAAAATGAAATTGGAAATATTGAGCTAATTAGATCAACAGGGAATGTTTTATTTGAGACTGCATGTAATACAAACCTACATTATTACATTTATAAAAAAGAGACGTAAGCGGCACGTAATAAAAAAATGGTAGACAGTAAATATAACTAAAGTACTAGTGTACTACTGTACTGCTTAATTTTCATATTTAATTTAGAAATTTTGGATGGATTAGGGGATTACTAGTTTGAATTTGGGGTTAATTAGTTACTTTTGCAATTAAGTAGCAAATGACTTAAGGAGCACTACGATAAGGTTGAAATTAAGGCAGCTTAATGATTAGGGTATAGAATAATTAAATTATATACAGACTTTTCTTTTCAAAATATATTTGATTTTAAATATTTAAATTCCAGTTGAATTCATATGATGATGAACAAAGGCTAGTTTGAAGTTGAAAAATCAACTCTTTGAAAAAGAGTTGAACTCAAATTTAATTTGTGATTTCATAATCTAATCCTTGTAATAAGTTGTAACCCCGTATGAGGAAGTCTATCTTACTTTAGACCTTTCTATATTTTGAAGTTTTGAACTAGTAATGTACGTATGTGATGACATTTTAGAAAATAAACAAAATTATAAGTGAAGACTATCTAGCCAATCTAGGTGCTTCTTTTATTACTATTACTATTACTATTATTTATTTATTTTTTCTGAAACATCTAGGTGCCTATTTTGTTCATCTTATTATGTTTATTTCAGCAAATTACAAGTATATATAAATTCTGATAAAATAAATTAAAAAAAAAGGTCTTAACACATTCTGATAAGGAGTGTCTTATATTAGTTTAGTTTAATACATACTAATAAAAATCTAAAATAACCTTTAATACGATATATATTAAATTAACTGTTATATGACATACTCTAAATTAATATATCACTTAATAGATCAAAGTACATAAATAAATGGTCTAATAAAAAAAACTCTAGAATGTAATTAAGAAATACTTTTTTTATTTTTAAATTGAAAGATAGTTGATTCAATAGTAGCGGCCGTGAAAGTTGTTAAATCCTACTTAAGTAACTGTTCTATTAATCCAAAATCCAAAGTAATGTAAAAAGTTTCACTCTAGGAGTATAATTACTATGAATTCGGTCAGATAATTGGAAACATGCATGGATAATAGTGACCAGCTGATTTGAAGGTGATTATAATTAAGGGGGGAAGAATCAAATGATAATCACAGTAGTATGTTCGTTCTTGGACTTTTCCTTGGTCACATTTTTAGCATCATTTGAGCTTTTATAATTTAAGGATAATTGTATCAACTAATTAAATTGTTGAAAGGTATTTTGTTTTGAGTGCATGAATTGAACTTTCAACCAACACTTTCGCCTTTTAAGAAGGGAACTTCCTCGTGTTTCTCTTGGTTTATCAATATTTTCCCTACCATCTTTTTTACTTCTTTGAATTAATGTACATAGTATTAATTACTCGATCTATAGTGTATTACGTAGTACAAACTAAGCCAAGAGCCTGAAAACAAACCCTGGCCTTTGAATATTATTATACTTTATACGCGTACTGGTCTTTGGCACGCATTGGGTTTAAAAGGGCATGCAGGCGACATGAACTCATCAATTATTGCAAAGACATGGACAAGGCATGCATGGCAAACGATTGATTGCGACGCAAGCTTGCACCGTGCAATTGATCATATATATACAGTTAAAGGACCAACTCGACCAAAAACTTAAGCTGATGGTTGAGTTGCGGGAATATGTTTTATACTCTATCACGCCCCCTCACGCGAGAGCTCATTTAGGCTAGCTTAGAAGTGTGGATGCAACATGACCCCCCCCTCATACCCAACGCTTAATATTCTAAATGAAAGTGAGGGTAGATGAGATTCGAACTCGTGATCTTGTGTCACGCTGGCTCTGATACCATGTTAAAAGACCAAATCAATCAAAAGTTTAAGTAGATAGTTGAGACCCAGAAATATGTTTTGTACTCTATCATATACGAATTAATTAATATATACTCCATCTGTTTCAATATGATAATCTCATAAGGAATCAATCACATAAAATAAGAAAAAGAGAATATTTGGAATAATCCAACATTAAAGTAAAAAACAATTTATAATAGTTTTGTCTTATTTAACTTTTTTGATTTTTTTTTATTTAAGGAAAGCATTAGCCAATAATTGCATAAATCAATAGAGTAATTTCTTTATTTAGAGTCATGTCATTAATTCACAATCAATTAATCTAGCCAATCAGAATTTAATATAGGAAATAAAAACTAAGTTAAAAGTGGAATACATTCAATATGGGTAGATCTTTTTGAAACGCCAAAGTAGTACTCCGTATATGAGAGTAATGTGACTAACAAATTGAAACGAAAAGTGTAATAAAATTAGAGAAAAAGTTCAAGGTGATGACACAAACTTGTGTTAACTTAGGTGATACTCTTAGCTCAAGAGTTGTGTTGGCTACGGAGTAACAAAGTATGGCACAATCAACATGAAATCACCGTACCAACTGACCCTTTTAAATGGGTGTTGTTATTTTTCGCTCCCATTTTACCGGGTAACGCTCCCTTTTTGACTTGAAATTCCAATTTTACCCCTAACATATAAATACGGTTTTTTCCACTTCCCGACCAACATTTCTCACTTTCTTACTTCTCTCTCTAACTCTCTAAAACACTCTAAAAATTTGAAAAAAAAAATTTCCAAATTTTTTTCTTCATTTTTAAAAAAAAACAACAATCATAAAAAACACAAAAAAATGGGTGATTCGAGGCGGATTAGGCTGAAATTCGGAGGGAGGAGCTTTGGCGGCGGTGGAGGCGGCGGCGATGACGGAGGCGACGAGATAATTTTTTTTTTTAATTACGGATCCAGGAACTTTCGCCCAAAAAATCCAGAAGTTCCATGGAGGATCCGCCTGGAATTTCCGGATCCTCCATGGAACATCCGGATTTTTTGGGTGAAAGTTCCATTTTTTTTTCCGTTAATAATATGGTATTGTTATTTTTAATTGTTAATTTTAATTTTTTTTTTTTTTTGGATTTTGTTATTTTTGTTGTTATTTTGAAGTGTTATTATTATTATTATTATTATTATTATTGTTATTATTATTGTTGATATTATTATTATTGTTGTTATTATTATGGTTAGTATATTTTGTAGTGTTATTATTTTTAAAAATATGATAATTTTTATTATTTTGTTGATATTAGGGTTTTTATTATATTATTGTTATTATGGTTATTGTTGTTGTTGTTAATTTTTTATTTATTTTTTTTGGATTTTGTTATTTTTGTTGTTATTTTGAAGTGTTATGGTTAGTATTATTATTATTATTGTTATTATTATTTTTGATATTATTATTATTATTATTATTGTTATTATTATGGTTAGCATATTTTGTAGTGTTATTATTTTAAAAAATATGATTAGTATTATTATTAAACTAAGTTGATATTAGGGTTTTTATGATTGTTGTTGTTGTTTAATTTTTTTTTTTTGTTGTTGTTGTTATAATAATATTATTATTATTTTTATTAGTAGTACTATTATTAATATTTTTAATTATGATTAGTATTGTTGTTGTTGATATTAGTGTTATTTTTATTGTTATTATGGTTATTGTTGTTGTTGTTAATTTGTAATTGTTGTTGTTGTTGTTGTTATTATTATTATTATGGTTATTGTTGTTGTTAATTTTATTTGTTGTTGTTGTTATTATTCTTGGCCTTCTATGGTTATTGTTGTTGTTGTTAATTTTAATTTTTTTTTGTTGTTGTTATTACGATTATGATTGTTGGTGTTGTTGTTTTGATTATTGTTTATTATTATTATTATTATTATTATTATTATTATTATTATTATTATTATTATTATTATTATTATTATTATTATTATTATTATTATTATTATTATTATTTATTATTATTATTATTATTATTATTATTATTATTATTACTAAAATCGGATTATTTTCTTATTTTATGTAGATCGAGGGTTCTGGTGCTCGACATGCAATATCACGACGTCTTAATGCGTCTGTTAGGAGATAGATATCTCGTTCAGTATCGCTTCAGCCCGAGCAGCAGCAATACGGGTCTACTAGTGGTTGGTCGGGAGACCAACAGTCTGATCTGGTAGTAGTCGGCCCTTGTACTTTGCAAGTGGAGCACCCATATCTGACGAGGAAGACGAATGTTCGGCTAGTCATGCTGGTGACCGGGATGAAGAACAGGACCCTCAGGAGTACCATATGGTATATAGGGGTCAGTTTGGGAGATTTGTTGGTAGTGGATCGAGTCAGCCTACTTCCAGCTCTGCAGAGGCATGGTTAGTGTAGGAACCGATGTTGGGTGCGCCTGAGGATGGGTCTATTATCCCTAGTTTTGGCGGTCACGTGGCACGGTATATCTGGATGGAGCAGGAGCGTAGTGTTTTGCGCTGTTTAAGTAGGATAAAGTTATGTTCTGACTTGTTCACTTGGCGAGGTCGTCAATCTGTGGAGGACCTCGCGCCGATTGATGCTAGTTGGTTGTCTCACTTGCCCGGCCTGATGTTTAAAAGACTTGATTGGCCGTTGATTTCTGTTTTTGTTGAGAGGTGGCAGCCAGATACGAACACCTTTCACATGCCATTTGGGGAGATTACGATCTTGTTGCACGACGTATACAACATCCTTGGGTTACGGGTTGCAGGCAATATGGTCACCACTACTCCTAGCACGGACGTGTTACGGGACGCGTGCTCGATCACCATGGATATGACTCCAGATGATCTGTCTGAAATTTGCGGCACAAAGACCATTTTGCAGGGTAGTGGGGTATTGACTAATAAGATTTTTGAGTCGACATTGGCGGTTGACCGGGAGTTTAGTGACCAGCTTGATGGATACTTGTGGTTAGTGCTTGGAGGTACACTGTTTGTAGAAAAGAGTGGTAACCGTACGCATCCTTTCTTCCTCCACGAGCTATGTTACATGGATGTCCCTATTAACGAGTATGCTTGGGGAACAGCTGCACTGGCCTACTTGTATCGGCAACTGGGCACGGCATCACGGAAAGGTGCTGATTCGATTGCTGGTTGTCTCACGCTTCTGCAAGTGTGGATTTACGAGTACTTTCCGTGCTTTCGGCCACAGCAGGGTACCTTGACCCGGGACCTTCAAATGCCTCGTGTGTCTGCTTGGGATGTTGGAGCGGGATGTCCTAGCAAGAACCTGGAGCGCCTGTTAGCTTTTCGTACTATAATTGATGCGCTTACTGACCGTGAGGTGAACTGGCTACCGTACGGAGCTGATCCTGCATTACAAGTGCCCCCCACTTTATTCATTGGCTGCATCTAGTACCGTAACATCATTGAGCCGTACATGCCTGATAGAGTGGTGCGCCAGCTTGGTTTCATGCAAGGCATTCCCCGCGAGATCATTAGGCCAGAGAAGGCCAAGAGGCCGACTAACTTGAAGATGTATCGGGTAGACTTCCCGACCGAGATGACAGATGTGATGTGGAAGAGGTTGTCCCTGGGGTATCTCAGAGTGTAGTTTTAGGTGCCCTCACCAGGCTTAGTGCTGCATCTCCTTCGGTTGCGCCTGGTTACATGAAGTGGTTGTACAGGTTTTATCACCCGCGGCCCGCGGGTATCTCCAGGTGCAGGAGTTACAAGCAACCTGCCTGAGCGGACTAACACTGATTATGTAAGTATTTATGCTTATTATTATATTAACAATGACTTCTATGAATTTTTGTGTTTATAATATGTTATTGTTTGATTTGCAGTGGATGGGTCGGTCCATGGAGATTCACCAAAGAGCACTAGCTGAGTATCCTGAAATGTCGAGTGAGACTCGAACAATGACTGTTCTGGGTCACCACCACGTTGAGTGTGTTGACAGTTCACATACTCGAAATAGCTACGATCACGCCTGGTGTAATTTTTCTTCGGTCGACCACGAGTGTTGAGGTTGAGATGTGGTTCTTCAAGGTGTGAATGATCTGGATGTAGCTCCTCTTCAATGATTCGCGTTACATTTCGACGTACGGCCGGGTCACTTTCCATGACTTCATCAATTAGGGGACCGAAAATGTGCAACCTCCTCGGTCGAATCATTAACCACTTCAGGAATGTTAACACCATCACCAATAACCAGTGTCTTCCAGAAAGAATGAATTTGGATGTTATACAATCCTGTCTGTGCAACTATCGAATCATGTATCTGGAAAGCACATGGAAGACCATGGGTCACACGCATAGCACATCCACACCGTTCATGGACCTGGTAACTCAAATCCCGCATCCTTTTCGTCTCGTTATCCAGTACTTTCAAGCAATGTTGAGACACTTTGCCATTTATACGTGACAGTGGCAACTGTCTGTACATCTGACCAATTTTAGACCTTGATGCCTCCAAGTCATTATGAATTTGTATGATACGATTACCGATATGACAATGGACTCGGGCCCATACGGTATCCAAAGCACCTGCCAATGATTCTAATTAGTAAATACATTTTAATTTTTTTATTATAATTATAATTACGTAACAACGAAAATAACTAATAAAATAATACAACTAACCTGTGGATGATTCAAACTAAGTTTTCACTGCTGAATGTTGGCTCTCAACTCTGCAGTTGGTGGTGTTACCAAAGTGAAGAACCTGGTTCGTCCAAAATTTCACAGATTTCTCCTTATGACAAAGCCATGTTCTCTGAACATACTGAATCACTGCCGGATATTTTCCCCACCTCACTTGCATGGCAGCTAGAGCATGATCATACTCCGCCTGTGTTGTTGCATTCACGATTTTGAACCATCTCCCAGCTCTAAAACTGACACCAACCTTCTTGTTTCCGAACATCTTCGTCACCTTAGCCTCCACATCTCCGTTGATGTGCCATAGACAGAGTAAATGTGACGTCCCTGGAAAGACTTCTCTCAAAGCCGCACATAGCCCAAGATCACGGTCTGAAATAAATACAGATGGCTCTTTATCAAACCCAATCAACTCCCTTAATCTCTGCAACACCCACCGATAGCTAGCCGTGCACTCGTCGCGCATGAAAACATATCCAACTAGAAAATTCTGGTTTGTCGGTGTCACACCTACTATCTCAAAGAAAGGCATGTTATATCGATTGGTCTTGTAAGTAGAATCCATACCTATGAAATGTGGGTATGTGCGGAGTATGTTGACCATGATCGGGTGCACCATAAATGCATGTTTCAAAACGTTGTGATCATCGTTCGTGACCCAGTAAATGTATTTACTCTCTCTTGCCAGATGAAGAAATTGCTGAACAACTCCTCTTCCTTCGGACATCTCCATCCTGAAGTCATTTCGGCAATTGTAAATGTGTCGGATGTTTGGATGATCATCAGGAAATTGCTCGGCAATAGTGGACATGATGTTACGGGGAGCAACCTTGGACTTTGTCATGTTCCGCACAACCTGTTTTATTTGCACCCGGACTCAATCCGCTCACTTTACGGTGACCCTCTGGGTACACAATCATTGGGTGGTTATGTGTCCCGGTGTGATCATTTTTCGCAATGATCTTCCAACTGTCGGTGCTGACTTCATAATATATCTTGATGTAGAATGGACAACCATTAGCTTTGGTTTTGGTGTCCTTCCGTATCGCGTTCTCCAAATCTCTCGGCTTGCTCCTTCGTGACCGATCACATCGCAAATACCGATACGGCCGACCATCTCTGGTTTTGTTATAAGACGATTTCACCAATATAAATCCCAATTTTTATGGAAACACCATCAGCCCATGTAACTGCATCGTCAAATGTAGGAAAAAACGTATATGTGACAAAATTTCCACTATAATTCACACCGTCACCGCCTTCCTCAGATTCCATATCCTATACAAATTAAATAAAACATGGTTTATGTCAAAATAATAATAATAAAAACAACAACAACAACAACAACAACAACAACAACAACAACAACAACAACAACAACAACAACAACAACAACAACAATAATAATAATAATAATAACAATACTAATACTAATAATAATAATAACAATACTAATAATGATAATAATAATAACAAATACAAAACAATAACAATATTAATAATAATATTAAAAATAATAATAAACAATTATAACAACAAATACAAAACAATAATACCATAACATTAATTACTAAATAATAATAATAATAATAATAATATTATTATTATTAGTATTATTATTATTAAAATTATATTTCTACTAATTAACAACAACAATATCAACAACAACAACAACAACAACAATAATAACAACAACAACAACAACAATAATAATAATTTAACAACAACAACAACAATAATAATATCAACTACAACAACAACAATAATATCAACAACAACAAAAACAACAACAACAACTACGATAATAATAATAATAATAATAATGATAATAATAATAATAATAATATTTTCAATAATAATAATAATAATATAAATAATAATAATAATAATGTAACAAAAAATAATCATATTACTAATAATCATATTTGTACAAAAAAAATTACATTAATTATCAAATACTAAATCACAACAATAATCACAAGGCCACGAAAAAAAAACATAAAAAAAAAAACTTAATTAACATTAAAAAAAAACGTACTTAACATTTTAAAAAAAAATTATATAAACAAGGACATCCGCCTAAAATATCCGGATGTCCCTAGGTACATCCGCCTAAAATTTCCGGATGTACCATGGAAGATCCGGATTTTTCAGGCGGATCCCTACTTCTGCTTGAAATTTCCGGATGTTCCATGGTACATCCGGAAATTTTAGGTTGATGTCCTATTTGCCGAAAATAAAAAAAAAACAAAAAAACTTACAGAATGTTCCGACGCATTCTCCGGCGTACAAATGTTCCACTCGCCGTCCATGACCCAAGACCCGTCGGAAAATTTCACGATTAATTATTTTTTTTTAAAAATAAAATTTAAGGTGGTCGTGGGGACCGATTTGGTTTTAAGGTCGTGGGGACCGATTTTGGGAGGCTCGGGATAGCAAGGTCGTAAGGTGAGGGGACCGTTTCATGTAATGTGTCCAAATGGGGAACAAAGTCCTTTTTATAACACAAATTGCATAAAGGGCATAGTTGTCCATTCAAGTCAAAAAGGGAGCGTTACCCGGTAAAATGGGAGCGACGAATAGCAGTTGAGTTTTAAATTATTCTTCATAGTTGTAATTTTTTGTACCACGCACATCTAATTTTTTTATTTTTTCAGATTTATAAAAATATATATTGAGACTAATAATCTAATAATTAAAAATATATATTGAGACTAATCCTATAATAGTTCTAGCCTGCTATGTATTTTGGTATTTATTTATAATCTCACCATATATGCATGCATGATTGCATGCACAACAAATAATATTGGAATGAAGCTAATACCCTAATAGATCTTTATGGCTTCATGCATGTGTATCCCTTAAAATCAGGCATGCATAATACGAGTACTTGTTATTAGATAGTCAAATAAAGATAGCAATGTCTGTTGTACGTTGTGTATATAAGACTTTGTGTATATATATAGATTATAGAAAGATAGATATATCACCATCAGATTATATACATATTGATCGACTATCTATAATAATAAAAATTAATGGTATGAGCATAGTTTGAGTTTTAATTTCAAGTGAACAACATTATCTTCTCACTGATCCCCGCATTACTACAGTAGTCAATAGCACATGCATGTAAGCAAAAACACGAGGTTGGACGTTAGAGTAGTACCACTTTACTGATTGAGGTCATGTGCTACGTACTCTTTATATTCAGTACTTGTGTGACACCCACCGTGGTTTAAGGCGCATCCGTTATTTAGAGAGAGCCCACTTCACGAGTCTATGATTATTTTTATTACAGTTAAAAAATTAAATCATATAACAATAAGATGAACAAATAATCCTTTAGCTTATAAAATATTTAACTCTATTTATTTTATTATATGGAACGCAAACCCTTACATGCGTTATATGAGAATATCGGTACTCTATAATGTGGGTATATACTATAGGACATAGGCACAGGCAGACATGCATTATTTTGATCAGTGAGGCAATGCCTATTGCCTACAACCCTACAATACCAATTAGGCAATTATTAACAGTGTGAACATCTAAATATAGAAATTAAAGGTAGGTGATGAGCAATGTAAGGTTTAAGTCTAAATTCAACATAAAGTTTTTTCTCAAAAACTTATTCAAATATCTTAGAGCCTTATCCTTGAATAATTAAGATGTAATAAGATGATATCATAATCTAGTGACGCCTTCCTTTTAATTTATTGTACACAAAATTCTTGATTTAGAATACCTTAGATGGAGTGTGTTTGACTGTCAAAGATACACCTACCACTAAATTTTAGTTGGTTCCTCTTTGACCATATACTTTTCAAACTTCAACAGACTAATGCTTATACGAGTATTATTTATGTGTGTTCGTGTTTATCAATTTTACTTTTTTAATTTTAAATTTGAGGGTATATATTATATTATTTATATTTATAATAATTGTTGCATTCACTGGCTGTGAAATTTTAATATTTAATTACATGGTCATCGTGATGAATATGGAGCAATTTATACAATATTTACTCCGGATGTCTTATTCTACACTTCTTTTATTTTAGGGTTAGTTGGTGTTGGACTTATTACGATACTTTAATACTAGATTACTAGCTACTTTGTATAGTATATGATAGATTTTATTACCCACTCACATAAATCTTCTTTTAAAAGGTGAAAGTTTAATTTTATTTATTATTTTTTTCAAAAGGGAATGAGAAAGAAATAAAGTTTTTCATTGGCTTAAAACTCTACAAATAAATTTAAATAACGTCAGTAACTAGAGTGATTTGAAATACAAAAGTATAATACTTAATTATTGTGATAGAAAAAAATACTTATGAGGTTAGAAAGGGACCGA